ACAGTTCCAGATTGGTTTTATTTTTGATCCTACAATTGGACAGCTAGGAAATAAATGTTCTGATGAGCTGAGCAAAAGAGTGTTTATAGACAGAAAAGGGCTCAAGAAAGCAGACACACACACACACACAAAATTTGTAGCTTCATTCTGAGCCCCGTGTTTTTGAAGTCATATCCAGAAATATCATTGCCCAGACCAATGTCATGGAGTTCTTTTGTCTGTTTCTTCTAGTGCTTTCATAGTTTCAGGTCTTAAGTCTCTAGCCCATTTTTAATTGATTTTTTTTAATATAGTGAGACATAAGCCTCTGGTTTAATTCTGTATATGAACATCCAATTTTTCCAATACTGTTCATTGAAGAGACTGTTTCTTCCTTTTCTGAACTTTTTGTACCTTTTTCAAAGTCATTTGACAGAAAATGTATGGGTATATTTTTGAACTTTTCATTCTGTCCCTTTGGTCTGTGTCTACATTTATGTCAGTACCCTACTGTTTGGGTCACTCTTTGTGTATTTTGAAGTAGGTGGTGTGATAATCTATCTCTGTTTTTATTCTTTTTGTTCAAGATTGCTATGGCTCTTCAGGGAGGTTTTTCCGATTCTATACATGTTTTAGAGTTTTTCTTTCAATTTCTGTGATGAATGTCATTGGTATTTTGATAGGAATTGGGCTGACCCTGAAGATCAGTTTGAGTAAGCCAGTTTTAAGATTGTTAATTCTACTCCATGAACACAGAATATCTGCTTACTTTTGTCTCTGATTCCATTTTGATTGTTTAATAATTTTCAGTGCTAAAATCTTTCACTGCTTTGAAATTAATTCATAAATAGCCTTTTTATAGCTGTATATAGGGGATGTTCTCTTACTTTTCCTATTTATATAGTTTGCTGTTGGCTTATAAAAGGCTATTGATTTTTGTATTTTGATTTATCATCATGAAATTTTACTGGATTAAATTTTTTAAGTCTAATGGTTTCTTTTTTTTTTTTTTTTTTTTTAGAGTCTTTAGGGCAGTGGTTCTCAACCCTCCTAGTGCTTTGACCCTTTAATACAATTTATGTTGTGATGAACCCAACCATAAAATTATTTTCCTTGTTACTTCATAACTGTAATTTTGCTACTGTTATGAGTCATAGTGAAAATATATAATACACAAGATAACTGATATGCAGCCCCTGTGAAAGGATCATTTAACCTCCATTTTTTTGAGACAGGGTCTCTCTACATAGCCTTGTCATAGAGCTCCCTATGTGAACCAGGCTAACCTTGGATTCACAGAGTTCCTCCTGCCTCTGTCTTCAGACTGCTGGGATTAAAGTTATATGCCACCATGCCCAGCTGTTTTTTTTTTTTAATTTGTAAACTTGTTCTATGCAAACAATAATGGTTTTCAGTTTTGTTTTGTTGTTGTTTTACTACTAAGAATTAAATCTAAGCTACATGCCTAGCCCTCCTTTTCTTTTCATTTTGAGATAGCCTCATTGAGTGCCCAGGCAAGGCTCCAAACAATCCTTCTGCCTCTACCTCCCAAGTTCTCAAGTCATAGGTGCATGCTATCATATTTGACTTTTAACTACTTCTTTGCCATTTGAGTGCATTTCCCTTTTTTCTTTTTTTTACAATAATTTATTTAGGCCAGGCGTTGGTGGTGCACGCCTTTAATCCCAGCACTCGGGAGGCAGAGACAGGTGGCTTTCTGTGAGTTCGAGGCCAACCTAGTCTCCAGAGCAAGTGCTAGGATAGGCTCTGGAGAAACAGAGAAACCCTGTCTGAAAAACCAATAATAATAATAATAATAATAATAATAATAATAATAATAATAATAATTTATTTAACTTTATTTTATTCACATTGGTGTGAAGGTATCAGGTCCCCTGGAACTGGAGTTACAGACAGTGAGTGCTGGGAATCCAAATTCCTGTCCAGCAAGTGCCCCCTCCCCCAGACAGGGTTTCCCTGTGTAGCTTTGAAGCCTGTCTTAGAACTAGATTTTGTAAACCAGGCTGGTCACAAACTCACAGAGATGCACCTGCCTCTACCTCCCAAGTGCTGGGATTAAAGGTGCATGCCACCACTGCTCTACCCAGCAAGTGCTCTTAACTATTGAGCTATGTCTCTAGCCCTGCGTATGACTGCTCTTAAAAGCCTGATATTCCCTGAATTATGAGAATAATGGTGGTCATGAGGCTTCAGAAGCAGGCCTGAAGAAGCAAAATGTTTCTCTGTCTTTGACCTTCTTCTGTTTTTATCCATAGCTCCATTTTCTCCCTCAGAGATACTACTAAAATGACCATTTTTCTTGGGCTGAGGAGATTGCTTAGTTGTTAAAGTGCTTGAGGTCCCATCCCCAGAACCTACATATAGCTGGGCATAGGAGGTCAACTTGTAATCTCAGAACTGCTGAAACAGAGCCATGTGGATCCCTGGGGCTGATGGCTACCCAGCCTAGTCTTCATTGTGAGTTCAAGGCCAGTGAGAGACACTGTTAATTGTGTTAGTATTGTCCTCTGACCTCTGGCAGAGTTTTCTCTAATCTTTTGCTGCTATGAGACACTGCCCATAAAGAAATTCAACTTTTTTTTTTTTTTTTGGTTTTTCAAGACAGTGTTTCCCCGTGGCTTTGGAGGCTGTCCTGGAACTAGCTTTAGTAGACCAGCCTGGCCTTGAACTCACAGAGATCCACCTGCCTCTGCCTCCCAAGTGCTGGGATTAAAGGCGTGCACCACCAGCCCGGCTAAGAAATTCAACTCTTATCTTGTCTGGTAGGACATCATAAAACTTTAATTGTAAAACAAACAGAAACCTCCTATTGCAGAAGGCTTCTGGACTCCAGCAGCCTGTTTGTTTCCTCATCCAGGCTGCTTGCGTTGGCTCACACTCTCTTTATCTACTTGCACATCCATGTGATTGCACAACTTCCAGTCATGACAATGAAATGAAGTCTGGTTTTCAAATTGAAAGGCTCTGCTTCTCCCCCCCCCCCCCACTCCTATACATTACATGGAAGATTTCAGATGCCTTCAAGATTTAGTTCCACACTTAACCCACCTTCATGGTCAAGGAACGTAATTGCTGATGGAGCAGTTATTAATACTGTTTGTCTTAGATACTTTTCTACTACTGTGTTAAAGTACCATGAGCAAGGTAAGTTACAAAGTGCTTAATTTGGAGCTCACAGTTTCAGAGCCTGAGAGTCCGTGACTGTCATGGCGTGGGGTGTGGCAGTAGGCAAGTGGGCATGGTTCTGGAGCACTAGCTGAAAGTTCACATCTTGATCCACAAGTCTGAGGCAAAGAGCTAACTGGAAATGGCTAGGGCTTTTGAAGCTTCATACACACCTCCAAGAAGGCAAGACCTCCTAATTCTTTCCAAATATTTCTACCTACTTGGGGCCAACTATTCAAACATGAACCCATGAGGACCATTCTTCTTTGTTTACCCATTTCCTTAAAACCAGTTCCACTTTTGGCTTCCCTGTATGTTGTAAAACAGTGGTTCTCAATCTATACCTTTGAGGAGTAGAGCAACCTTTTCACAAGGGTGGAAAAGGCCATCAGAAAACCCAAATATTTACATTATGATTCTTAACTGTAGCTGATTTACAGTTATGAAGTAGCAATGGTTGGGGGTCACCACTACATGAGGAACTCTATTAAAGAGTCGAAGCATTAGGAAGGTTGAGAACCACTTGTAAAATGAAATCTCATTAAATCTTACTAAATTTGCTTTTTAGTTACCCACGTGTAAGCACTGACACAGCTGCATGCCCTTTCTGCAGTGGGTCTCTATAGTCAACTCTGCTTCTAAAGTGTCTCCCACCATGCTGTTTCCCCAATCATGTCTCTGCTGGAGCTTTAGCCTCGACCACAAGCTTGGATTCTTGCCAAGTACCTAACTGGTTTCCTTGATTCTCATTCTGCAGAATCAGTCTAGGTTATATCAGTCGATAAAGTTATCTTTCAGATGAAGCGCTGCTCCTTTGACACAGTAGATACACATCCCACTGTGATCTGTGCAATAGCTGTTTTACTTCCCTGTCCATTCAGACCCTTTGAAAAATGAATACTTCATAGTTCCAAACATCTTTTACTCCCTGTTACTAACATGACAGTCATGCTCTTCTTTTCCCAAATATTTTATTCCTTATTATCTAGTCATTTCAAACTAGTTCATACCAGTTCATTCTAGGATGGATGAAGGAGGGTGGGCACCCATGTGCTTTGGAAATTTGTGAACTTCCTCGAGATTTAAGTGTTCCCATATGCGTTTGTTATTCTGAAGAAAGAATTTTTCAAGTCACCAGTTTCTCAAAACAGATCTGGAGCCTTAAAAAGTGATATTGATCAGTGACCTTTTGAAGTAACATAGATTAACTCATTTGTGTTAGTAAAATTTCTCATTAAAATTAGATAAATTCTATTTAAAGCTCAAAGTTTCAGAATCTGGCTAGGGTAATTGTTCCGTGCTTGTTGGTGGTGCTTAGTGCAGGGTGGTGAAGTGCTGCTTATTGTGCAAGTTTGAGGACTTGAGTTTGAATCTCAGAACCCGAATAAAGCTAAGCATAGTCATGTGGATCTGCAAGCCCAATGTCCTATAGCAAGATCACTGTGGAGATAGGAGAATCTCCAGAAGCCCACAGGCCAGCTAGCCTGGCAAGTGCAACAGCAAACAACAAAGAGCATGTGGAAGATGGAAACCAGCATTAGAGTTTGTCCTCTGACGTTTGCATGTGCCCACACTCAACTTCAGAATGAGTTTAATTGACCTCATCATTTCGTAGGTTCCTAGATATGACTGTTTGTGTGGGATTCATTTCCTCAAGAGATAGTATTTTAATATTTTCTCCTTTGGTATCTTTAACTGAAAGAAATTTATTCTCTCCCACTCCCACGTGACTGTTGTACAGCTAGTAGGCTCCCGTCTGTCCTCTGACGTCGTGATCTGTTTTTAAAAGGATTAGTCACATTTGTCATCACTTTTCTTCTTTTATTCTATTACAGGTTCCAATAGGCAATGGAAACTGACCTCAATTCCCAGGACAGAAAGGACCTGGACAAGTTTATTAAGTTTTTTGCACTCAAGGTATTATGTCCATTCTCTTGGGCTGGGAACAGCTAGAAATATCGTCCATGCTTCTCCCGTAGAGAGCCTCCCTTGGAAACGTAGCATAACAGCTTGCAGCTTGCCCATTTTCAGGGATACTTCTGTCTGTTGTAAACCAAACTGTGAAGTGTGGGGGTGGAATTGGGGGTGTAAGCAAAAAGTAGCTTCCAATTTTCCACAGCTACTTGTTCAGAAATTTTTTTTGTAAGGCTATCTGTAGAAATGTCAAACTGTTATGCCAGGTTATTGGCACAGTATATTCCCTTGGGGTGGGAACAAAGACTGTGAACTGGAATGGGCAGCCTTTTAGCATCTTTCCCACAGCTTCAACTAATACTAAAACTCCCAGTGTATTAGTTGTTTTTCTCATTGTTGTGACCAGATTCTTGACAGGAAGCAAGGGAAGGGAAGCAGGGTTTGTTCTGTCTCTTCATTCAGAGGATGTAGTCCACTATGGATGCTGGAGGCTGCTTCCTCACATCACACTGGATCAGGAAGTAGAGAAAAGAAAATTCCAGTGCTCATCTGGATGACTCTTGTTTTGAGATAAGGTTTCACTTTCTAACTCAGGCAGACTTCAAACCTGTGGCAGTCCTTGCCTCAGCCTTCCAAGTGCTAGAACTACATGTGTGAGCACTGCTCCATACTCCTGTTTACTGTTTCACGTTGTTGTTATATATTTTCTGTGTGTGTGCTCGTGCTTGTGTGCACGCACTTGTGTTGAAGTCTGAGGACAAGTTGCAGGAGTCTGTTCCCTCCTTCCACCAGGTGGGTCCTGGTGATTGAATGTAGGTCCTCAGGTTTGCTGACAAATGCATTATTAATTCACTAAGCCATCTTGCTAGTCCTTAAAATGTCAGTCGTGTGTGTGTGTGTGTGTGTGTGTGTGTGTGTGTGTGTGTGTGTGTGTGTGTGTGTGTATGCTCACTCGTGTGTATGTATACACTTGTGCTCAGATGGAAACGAAGAGGATGTTGAATCCCTTAGAGCTGGAGTTACAGGCATTTGTGGCATACCTGGCTTTTTGTGTGGATTCTGGCATCCGACTCCTGTCCTCATGATTGTGAAGCCAGCATTCTTCACTACTGTCTACTCTCCAGCTTCCTTTCTCCCTTTTTAGTTAGTCTAATACTCTAGCCCATTGAGTGGAATGGTTCCACCCGCATTCACCCAATAGACAAACCCAAAGACATATTTTAATAATACTATGCAATTTTTGTTAAATATTGTTTTTTTGGGTGGGAGGTTTGGTTTGGTTTGGTTTTGAGACAGGGTTTCTTTGTGCAGCCCAGGCTGTCCTGGAACTTGCTCTGGAGACCAGGCTTGCCTGGAATTCAGAGATCTATTTGCCTCTGCCTCCCAAGTGTTGAGATTAAAGGTGTGTGCCACCACCACCCAATTTAATTTTTTGACAAATTTTTAATGCAAAAAAATTGACAATTAAAATTAACCACCCTACCAATTTTTGTGAATTTTTCTCTTTACAGTAAGTGGGAAATTCCAGGTCTATTTTTAATATTATGTTTTTTTAAATCTAAAGGTCATTTCTACCTGTATCACTCTTTCCTTGCAACAATTACTGTGCAAGCCATGCCATCAATTCTGATGGTAAAATGATCTGGAAGACAGACACAAGCCACATGAGCAAAGCTGTATGGATAATTGTGCAGTTCTTGTTTTTAATCTATTATGATGACTCAAATTTGTGTCAGTGGATAATTATTAACATCATGGCTACCATGTGCAGTTTTCCTTCTGCCATGTGAGACGACTCTAGAATATAAACCTCAAACTGCTTTTTACTGGCTGATACCACCCTCAGGAATGCTTAGAGTATTGTTGTGTGTGCACTGTCTTTGTCTACTCTTATGCTTCTGCACCTCCCTGGAGTATAATTATGACTTAGTAGAATTAGCTAGCAGAAATTTTAACCCCATAAGGAGGTAAATCATTTTCTTTTTCTTTTTTCTTTTCATTTTCTGCCCCCGCCCGCCCGCCAGCATTGCTCAGGCTCTAACCCCAAACCATTTTTTTATTTTGTGTTTCGTTTTCAGACTGTCCAAGTAATTGTCCAGGCTCGCCTTGGTGAAAAGATTTGCACCCGTTCATCTTCTTCCCCAACCGGTTCAGATTGGGTAAATTCTTATTCTATGATAATGGCTGTGTATACTGCCGTTGTGTGTTAAAGGGAATGAATATAAAATGCCCTACTGCCATGTAAGGTGTACTGCTTATGGAGTTGCTAATCAATTGGCCCATTTGTATACAAAGTATATACATTCTTTATAAAAATTAGTCCTCTATTTATTTAGACCTTAACTTTCTGTTGTTACATGGCAAAATACAGTACTGCCTGGTAGTTAATCTGTGTAATGGGTAATTAACCTTTTTGCCTGAGACTTGGGCTTTGGTGCAGACTGCTTCCCATAGGGAAGGAAAAAGTGGCTTAGTGTTACTTTAAAAAAATAATAATTTGTTTATTTTTCTTTTATGTGCATTGGTGTTTTGCCTGCATATATGTCTGTGTGAAGGTGTCAGATCTTGTAAGTTACAGACAGTTGTGAGCTGCCATGTGGGTACTGGGAATTGAACCTGGGTCCTCTGGAAGAGTAGTCAGTGTTCTTAACTGCTGAGCCATCTCTCCAGCCCAGCTTAGTGTTCCTAATCAGCTAAAAGCAGTACCCATATGCACTACTCTGTGTTCCCATAATACTTCTTGAGAGGATTTCACACAGAAATATCCTGGTTTTTAGTTCAATTTAGCAATCAAAGACATCCCAGAAGTCACACATGAAGCAAAGAAGGCCCTGTCGGGGCAGCTGCCTGCTGTGGGGCGCTCTATGTGTGTGGAGATATCACTCAAGACTTCTGAGGTAAGGCCATGCTGGCCTTGGTCATCATCCCCTGCTTCTAGTTCATTTTTAATTTTATTCATGTTCCTTTTCTTTAATAATTTCTCATCATTTTTTGAAGGAATTAGGGATGGGGAGGGCAGGGGGTTCGAGACAGATTTCTCTGTGTAGCTTGACTGTCCTGGCACTCGCTCTCTAATCCAGGCTGACCTCAAACTCAGGGATCTGCCTGCTTCTGCCACCCGAGTTCTGGGATAAAGGTGTTTGGGACCACCGCCTGGGAGGAGTGGTGGATTTTATTTATTTTTTTTTCTTTCTTTTTTTTGCTATGCTGGGGATTAAACCCAAGTGTTGCCCATGCTCATAGAACACAGTAATGGTATAAAGCTGAGAAATTACGAATTTAGTCTTTTCTTGCCCGCTTGTTCAGAATAATGCACAGAGGGACAGTTTGGGTAGTGTTATCAGCTAAAATATTTTTTTTGGTGGGGAGGGGTTCGAGGCAGGGTTTCTTTTTGTGGCTTTGGAGGCTGTCCTGGAACTAGCTCTTGTAGACCAGGCTGGTCTCGAACTCAAAAGAGATCTCCCTGCCTCTGCCTCCCAAGTGCTGGGATCAAAGGTGTGCACCACCACCACCCAGCTTCAGCTAAAATATTTTTAATTTAAGGTGATAATAACCTTTCCTAAACTGGTGATGTTACTTAAAAATAGCATCTGTAGAATTAAAGTGAAACGCTCTTCTATCACTTGAAAAATGTCTGTCTTTCAGTCAGGTGGTGGTGGCACATGCCTTAAATCCCATGCTCAGGAGGCAGAGGCAGGCAGATCTTTGTGAGTTTGAGGCCAGCCTGGTCTACAGAGGTAGTTCGAGGACAGCCAGGGCTACACAGATAAACCCTGTTATGAAGAAAAAAATAAAGAAGTCCATCTTTCTATATGGCTGGGTGGAATGAATGAATGAATATATATATATATATATATATATATATATATATATATGCCTTCTTTTTATTTTTCTTTTAAATCCCTTTCCCTAATAAAAACCCCTCTGTCAGCAGGTGGATGGGCTACAAAGCTACAAAGAGAAACCCTGTCTCGAAAAGCCAAAAAAAAAAAAAAAAAGGGAAGGGGGAAGACCAGTCTCCAGAGACAGGAACAGCAGGAGATAGAAAAAAGGGGGAGAGAGGAAAAGGGGGCGACAGAGAGAGAGAGGGAGAGAAAGAAGGAAAGGAAGGACGAAAAAGAAAGAAAGAAAGAAAGAAAGAAAGAAAGAAAGAAAGAAAGAAAGAAAGAGGAAGAAGAATGGAAGGTGGGTATGTCCTTTTGAAAGGGAACATAGTGAATGTGGCTGCAGCTGAGGGCATATCCTGTCAGAACCCCAAGGACAGGCCAGTACAGATCCCTGAATACTGTCAGTAGTATACAGCATAACCATGAACAGTAGCCTAGAATGTGGAGATTTCCGCTAGTGTAGTTGAGTAGTACATTCATGGTGAACACCAAGGCCTAGAGTTAATCCCCAGTACCACAAAAGAAAAAAAAAAATCAGTCTCTCTCAATCAATCTTTCTCCCTGTCTCCCACCTCCTCCCTGTAATTTTTAGTTAGAAGGAAAATTCTGTGGTATGTTTGTTTAAAAAATAAGATAAAAACAGTACATATAGCATGATCCAACTTTTAGAAAAACTGCTGTTTCTAAATTGTTTTCTTTTTTATTTGTAGTCTTCAATATTTCTTGTGATTGTATGGTGACAATTAGATACTTTGTAATAATTGAAGTGTATTTCTCCTGTCCCCTCTGCAGGGAGATTCTATGGAGTTGGAGATTTGGTGTCTTGAAATGAATGAGAAGTAAGTGTTTTTGTGTTGGGCTTCTTGGTGTGGTAGCTGGGGATAAGCAATGACATCATGTGAAAGCAGGCTTTGTTGTCGGCCACAGAGAGGCATTCTGACCTGTCAGCAGAGCCAGCAGTCTGCTACGATTTGCTTCATGATTGGCTTCCAGCCTAGGCACAGAGATGACCTTCAGAAGGAGTATGGGTCCAGAGCAACTCACTCACAGTTGGGAAAGGAGCAGCAGCAATGCTGCAAAGGATTTGTTGTTCTCCAGGGGTATATCTTGTTCTCTGATTAAGCCCACTGTGAGCTCCTACCACATGGTATTATGTGGGGCACCTATTTGGGGAAATCTGCCCCTACTGCTCTTTTGTCCACACTATAATGGGTTGGAATGTTACCTCTTTCCCCTGTTTTGTGTTTGAAGGCAGATTAGCTCACCACCTGTCTGAAGCTTGAGTTTTTAAAAAGAGCATGTGTGAGATATGGGCATTTGTTTTTCTTGAGTAGAAAACAGTTGACAGGTTATCCAAAATTTTTGTAACAAATACATTTTTTTTCTCCAAATTTTCTATATAGAATTAAATAGCTCCTAAGACAAAACCTTGAAAATAAACAGCAGATTGAGTATAATTTGCAATATTATAGGTTGGTTTGTTGTTTTTTTTCAAGACAGGGTTTCTCTGAGGCTTTTGAGGCTGTCCTGGAACTATCTCTTGTAGACCAGGCTGGTCTCGAACTCACAGAGATCCCCTTGCCTCTGCCTCTGGAGTGCTGGGATTAAAGGTGTACGCCACCAATGCCCGGCCTGTTAGGTCGTTTTTAAGTGTACTTTTTTTTAGTAGATTCTTCTGGTGCTTATCTATATCTAACATGAAAAGAAGCATGCTCTAGCTTACTTCAGCAGTTTGTTGGTAGAGCTCTTTTTTTTTTTATATGGTTTTTTGAAATAGGGTCTTTCTGTGTATCCGTAACTGTCCTAGAACTTGCTCTGTAAAGCTCTGGCCTCAAATTCACATTGATCCACCTGCCTCTGCTTCCCAAGTGCTGGGATTAAAGGCATGTACTACCACCTCACAGTGATAGAGCTCTTAAATGCATCTATAATTTAGAAAGTGTTTTGCAGAGTTGAAGCATTCCATAGCATAGGTTGACAGTGTGTTTTTGTTCCTCAGGTGTGATAAAGAAATCAAAGTTTCCTACACCGTATACAACAGACTGTCGCTGCTGCTGAAGTCTCTTCTTGCCATAACGAGGGTGACACCAGCTTATAGACTCTCCAGAAAACAAGGGCATGAATATGTAATATTGTACAGGTAAATATCAAGGGTCTTGATTTACTCATCAGCCTCCTTGCAGTATACATAGTGTGTCTGGCATTCACATGTTCTATGATTATGTTTTTATACAGACAGTTGACTAGTATTGTTTCTATAGTTTTCCAGCTTTCCCAGCTTTTCAGACTCACCAGGTCCACTGTCATTTTGTCTCTGTGCAGTTATAGCTCTTGTTGAATGGTTGTTGAGGTTCTGCAGACATATGTTTCATAACTGGAAAGGGAGTTTAAAAATTTTTCAACCAAGCTTTGGGACTGGGGAGATGACTTAGTAGTTAAAGTGCTTGTCATGTAAGCATTGAGAACCAGAGTTCAGATCCTCAGAAGTCACATAAATGCCAGGTGGGCATAGCATCCCCTCTAAATCAAGGCCAGCACTGGGAAGGTGGAGGTGGGTGTAGATAGATTTTTCTTTGGGCTGCCAAATCACAAAAGAAACAACAGAGACTTATATTTAATTATGAAAGCTCAGCTGATAGTTTAGGCTTGTCCTGCTAGCTCTTAGAACCTAAATTAATCCATTTCTGTTCATCTACATGTTGCCAGGTGACTCATGGCTTTTACCTCTCCTGAATGTCTGTTCCCTCTGTGTCCACTGGTGATTCTGCCTCTCTTCTTCCCAGAGTCCTTTCTGTCCCTGGAAGTCCCATCTAACCTCTTCCTGCCTAGATATTGGACATTCAGCTCTTTATTAAACCATTCAAAAGGTGCCTTGACAAAGGTACATCTTCACAGTGTAAACAAATACTCCACAATAGGTGGGACCCTAGGTAGACTGGCTAGCCAGACGAGTTGTGTCAGTGAGCTGTGAGTTCAGTTAAAAGACCCTGCCTCAGCTAATAAGGTGGAGCATGACGGAGGAAGATTCCTAACATCAACCTAAGGTCTCTACACAGGTGCAACTCTGCACACGTGTTCCCAAACACTTAGAAACACTCATACACATCACATACTCATAAGAGAAAGACAACAGCAAATGACTTTCTACGTCTGGGCATGTAGCTCAGTGGTAACGGACCTGTATAGCACAAGACCCCGGTGTATTCCTCAGCAGTATGAAAACGGAAGGAAAATCCATTTAGCCAGGCATGGTGGCACACACCTTTAATCACAGCACTTAGGAAGCAGAGGACATATGTCTTAGTTCAAAGTCAGAGACCCTGTCTAAAAATTAATTAATTTTTAGAAATTTTCTTTCTGAGACAATCTAAGTACTACTGTCCCAGAGCTTGCTATGTAGACAAAGATAAACTTGAACTCAGAGAGATCCTCCTACATCTGCTTCCCAAGTGCTAGGAGTGAAGGCATGTACCACTGCACCTGGCCAATTTTAATTTTCTTTTTTGTTTTGTTTTTTGTTTTTGTTTTTTCGAGACAGAGTCTCTCTCTGTGTTGCTTTGGAGCCTGTCCTGAAGCTCACTCTGGAGACCAGGGTGGCCTCAAACTCACAGAGATGCCTATGCCTCTGCCTCTGCCTCTGCCTCTGCCTCTCTGCCTCTCTGCCTCTCTGCCTCTCTGCCTCTCTGTCTCTCTGCCTCTCTGCCTCTCTCTCTGCCTCTCTGCCTCTGCTTCTCTGCCTCTGCCTCCCGAGTGCTGGCATTAAAGGTGTGCACCACCAATGCCTGGCCCATTTTAATTTTCTTAAAAAATGTTTTTTGCTAGTACATCTGTAATCCCAGTGCTTGGGAGATGGAAGCAGGAGGATGAGGAATTGAAGATCATCCTTCACTATATAACCTATGTGAGTCCAGCCTGGGCTATGGGAGACCCCTGTCTCAAACAAACAAATAAGCTTTTCATGTTTTATTCTACAACCTTCTCTCTTCCAGAGCTAAATTCAACCTTTTTGTCTAACAAGCTGATGATCCAATTTAAGTGTACTTTCCCATAGCTAGAAGGAACTGTTTAGCAGTTTGTCCAGATATTGTCTTTGGGTCAATAATTCACTTCTGCACGTTGTATGAGTTCCACTTTAGTGCATGCACTATACTAGGCACAGAGGCTCTCTACTTAGTGTTTTGTTTTTGTTTTTTGAGGAGGCATGTTTTTGAGACTGGGTTTCTCTATATGGTCCTGGCTGTCCTGGAACTCACTCTGTAGTCCAGTTTGACTTTGAACTCACAGAGATATGCCTGCTTCTGCCTCCCAAGTGCTAGGATTAAAGATGTGCACCACCAAGGCGAGCAAGTGTTTCTGTTTTAACAAGGAAATTTGATACATGTGATACATGCATAAGCATAGTTAGGATCAGGCCTTTAAAACTGCATAGCAACGCCAGGGAAACGTGCTTAAGAGAACCCAGAAAAGAAAAGTTTTCCCTGGAGTAAGAAGGAAGGTGGGCCTCCTGGAGGAAGTGATATTGAGCTGCACTGAGGTGAACACAGTGTTAGCAAGTAGAAATGCAAGAAAATGATCACTGACTACACATGGAGGGGACAGTAGCTGCCCAGGCAGAGGTGGGCAGGGTGCGGTATCAGAGCAGTCCTCATTTTACTTTGCCAAATGGGCTTGAATGGAGGAGTCTGGGAAATTAAAGTATGAGAACAAGATGGGGAAGTCAGAGTTCCTGAATCATCCAAGAATGTTTTGTGTTGGACATGAGCTGTTGGTTTAGCCTTTGTCAGATGTAGCACTGACTTGTAGGACTAGCATATTAGTGTGGATGGATCAAAGAGACTTGCCAATTATACTGAAATGATCCTAGGCTGAGGATATTTGCAAAGTCATCCTTAACTCTCTTAACAATACCTAATAACCTATGTCTTTTTTTCTCAGATGCCAGTTTGAGTGTTGAAAATTACTAGACTCTCACTTGGCTATAATAGATTTCTTTCTGTTCTTCACTCATTTCTTGCTGTGTCAGTTACTTTTCTTGTTGTGGCCAAAAACCTTACAAGAAAGAACTTAAGGGCAGATGAGATGGCTCATCTGGTAAAGGACTTGCTACATAAGCCTGCATGTTTATGGAGGTGCTGTCCATGTCTGCCATCTCAGCCCATCTCCTCATCTCTTCCTTAGCCATCACCATATGGGTGTTCATGCCTGAGGCTCAGCTGAAGAAATGTGCCCGTGCAGATAAGGGAAGCAGGGCATGCTTAGGCTGTTTCTCGGCATTTTAGACATAGTCTTTGAGAATGGAGAATATGGTGTCATTTCTTTTTCTTTCTTCCCTACAGGATTTATTTTGGCGAAGTTCAACTGAATGGTTTAGGAGAAGGTATGTATGTATTTCAGGCCAGAAACACTTGTAGTGCTAAGAGCTGTACTAACTTCAGAAATGAACTCAGTTGCTACTTAGATCCATGACTAACCTTGTATAACACATACCATAGCTTGAAAATGTATAATACAATAAGGGAAAGGTAAGGAGCTGGGTCACTTGTCAAAGGAGCTACCAGAGTTGACAAAATAATTTTTCAGAAGTTCCTACAGGAGGAACTCATTCTTGGCGTTTCTCCCTCTCTTCCCCTCTCCCTCTTGCATGCTAATTAAGCACTGTACTCTTGAGCTCCATACCCAGAACTTTTGTGGTTGTTTCTCTTTTGTCTTTTTTGGTTTGATACAGGGTTTTTGTTTTGTTTTGTTTTGTTTTTTGGTACTTTTGTTTGGTTGGTTTTGTTTTTTGTTTGATTTGGTTTTTGTTTGTTTATTTTTTCAAGACAGAGTTCTCTGTGCTATTAGCCCTAGCTGTCCTAGCATTCACTCTATAGACCAGGCTGGCCTCAAACGCACAGAAATCCACCTGCCTCTGCCTCCTGAGTGCTGGGATTAAAGGCATGCGCCACCAACACCTGAGCATTGTTTTTTGGGTTTTTTTGGTTTTGGAGGTTTTGTTCTTTTGTTTTTTGTTTTTTTGTTTTTCGAGCCAGGGTTTCTCTATACTGCTTTGGAAGTTGTTCTGGAACTCGATCTGTAGATCAGGCTGGCCTCGAACTCACAGAGATCCACCTGCCTCTGCCTCCCAAGTACTGGGATTAAAGGCGTGAGCCACCAACACCTGGGTATTTTTGGTTTTTTAAGATCTCTGAAGATAGTGTCTTTCCTTTGCTGGCACTGGGTCAATAGAGAATACATTGCAAGTGAGAAACACACACACATAAAACCAAAGCTGCTTTCCTCATATGCTGAAAAAAATAATGCCAGTGATTATACAATAGGCTGGCTAGGGGTTGTGGCAGCATCATCTGGAAAAAGAGCTGATATTTTCTCTTCTAGGCTTCCAGACAGTTCGAGTTGGAACAGTGGGCACCCCTGTCGGCACAATCACTCTTTCCTGTGCTTACAGAATTAACTTGGCATTCATGTCCACCAGGTGAGGAAGTGGCTTGGAGTCCATAAGAGCTACATCCCAATGATGTTTTAAGCTTCTGTTTCCCCAAACAAAGCTCCAAGGCTAAAGCTACAGTTCACATTGCTAAAAGCCACCCTTTCCAGAAAAATGCAATTGAGAGAGGAAGAGAGCATCACTGTCACATTGGAGATGTCAAGTGTCCCCAAGCCAACCTGTCCAGAAATAGAGTCTGTGGTTTATATTTAGAGACTGCAATGTTAAGGTTCTAGTAGACCTGCTGTAGCTATGAGGTGAGGGGCCCTCTGTAGACTTGAAGGTGACTGGGAAGAAATTCTAACAAATTCTGCAATGTGCTTATTGCATTACAGGCAATTTGAGAGGACCCCACCTATCATGGGGATTATCATTGATCACTTTGTTGACCGTCCCTATCCCAGCTCCTCTCCCATGCACCCCTGCAATTACAGGTAAGGACTGGGAGATGCTCCCCCAAGTGGTAGCTAAGCAAAACATCCAACTGGCCATGTGGGTAGAAATGAAAAGGCTAGTTCCTTTCTTGCTATTGCCTATTTGGTACACCAAGGCTTGAGCCATAGTGTCTCAGGAGCTTACTGTTTAGGATCAAGGCAGTGATGTCACTTTCTGTCATAGCAAGTTATTTGGAGAGGACATGAATAACAGTAATTTGTAGACTTTGAAAATTGATTTTCAGGTTGCCATTTGGCTTTATGAACTCTGCCTAAAACTTCTTGACACAACTCTCAGCCTTTTCTAACTACTGTTTGTATACTTTCTGAAGTTGGCTACGGTCATCATCAAATTCATTGTCCTTCTTTCCTCCACTACAGAACTGGTGAGGATGCTGGAGTCACATACCCATCAGTGGAAGACTCTCAGGAAGTGTGCACCACCTCTTTTTCCACCTCCCCTCCCTCCCAGGTAGGGAAAAGGTTATGGGCTGTTGTGTTTATTCATGTGGGCTTTAGGGAACGTTGTCCAAATTTAGCTACAACCCCTTTGGTGATTATGACTGTTTTGAGGAGTAACAGAGAGCCTTCTCAGCAGTAACAGTGCTTGTTCCCAGGCTAACCATTCTGCTGTCATCCTCAGATCCCTAAACCTTAGTCACAGAACTCTACTGCATTCTGACACCAGACAAGCACTCTAACTTGCAGGTGTTGATTTGGTTGTTCTTTTGGAGGGAGGATCTTTAAAAACATGGTTTCTCTGTGTTGCCTTGACTGTCCTGGAACTCACTCTGTTGACCAGGCTGGCCTTGGTCCACCTGCTTCTGCCTCTGCCTCCCGAGTGCTGGGATTAAAGTTGCTTGCCACCGCACCTGGCAGCACTGCTTTACTTAGTAACTGACACAGCTCTCCATCTGCTTGTGCACATTCTCTATCCAAACATTTCAACCATTAACTTCCCACATGAGTCAGTCTGGAGGGGCAAATCCAGTTTCAGTAAAGCATTCTGATGCCAGCATCCTCAGAGGAAGCATTGCCTCCATCTGGTGGCATGGGTTGAGACTGTGACAAGCAGTCATTATTTCCACTGACTGAATTTTGTAGACACTTAATTATCCCCCTAAACTCCTCAGACTCCATTACCATCTACCTCATTGCCTTATCCTCTTCCGCTTGGACTTCAGGTTTTGTTTTTGAAATGGTGTCTTACTGTGTATTCTTGGCTGACCTAAAACACACTATGTAGACTAGGCTGGCTTTGAATGTTGAGAAGGCCCAAGCTTTTCTCAAGTTCTCCCAACAGCAAGACTATATGAATACACACAGACAGCACTCCCAGTCACTCCCAGGATGACATAGGAAAGTGTGCACCTGAGCATGCTAACAATTTGGCCAACAAATTTTAGCTCTTTAAGCCTGTCCTGCTGGCTGAGGGTTTCCTGATCAAGGCCAGCGTCCTCAGTTCTGAAGTTCACCTCCATTCTGCTCCAGGCCCTCCCCGGTTAGAGCTGTTCCCTCACTTCCTCCCACACCTTTCCAGATGATGACAGACTAATGCATGGTTTGGGTTTCTGTTTTGCCATGTCATTCCCACTTGAGTCAGTTCATTTTCCAGCTGCCTGTCAAGGAAACAGGCTTTCAGGGCATGCCCTGAGATAAATGTCACTTCTTAGCACCCTCGTAGTTGCTGCTTTGGGAAGTCAGCATGCATCTCCCTGCCTCTCTCCTGAGTCACCACTCTCTGCCCAGCCTCTCACTGCTGCCCCTTCTGGAGGGTTTTTTCCACTTTTTTCTCAAGTCCCTTCTCTTTTTCTTGTTTCTCCTGTCTCTCTGTGTGTCTGTGCACAGTGTGTGTTTACTGTCACAAAGGCACATTTTCAGACCCCTACTCCTGTGGTGACGGACACTCTGAGGGTCCCTATGGCAGGACTGGCCTTTTCCCATCAAGTGAGTTCATAATGGGAAGAAGGGGATATGATCAGATGGCTTCTTTCTACTTAAAAAAAAAAATGAAAATGAGTACAGGGTATAGTTATTTAGTCCCCAAGTGTTCTGTGGGATTATTTTAAGGCTTGGTAATTGATTTTAACAGGACACAGCCACAGCCCAGCAACCCAAAATAGTGGTTTTTATTTGCCCCTCCTCCTCCGTTTATGTGAAAAATACATGGAGCTATTTATATCAGGTTTCCAAATAAATAGTCCATGACTGGTAATCTTTCTGTTTTCAATATAAATAGGAGCCGTCCATCCCTGGGGTGATAGAGGTGTGATTAGAGAAGATAGTTTTAGTTTCAAAGGGATCTCAAGGACAAAGGAGAAAACAAGATGATATGGGAGATTCGCCGCAGGATTGTGCCCAGGAGATCTACTGAACTGGAGGCCTTTGGGAGGCTCTAGATCTAGTCCCAGATCAAACAAGTCTCTGTTTTCTTAATGAAAAAGCCCTGGCCCACCCTTGCCCCTCTGCCCACTGGGATCTGCTCCTGCCTTTCTGCTGAGTTCCAGCATGGGTCACATGCTAGGATTCCTTTTTCTCCCTGCCTTTCCTCTGCCCCTCTGTTTTTCTCTTGCTCAGCTCTCAAGCTCTCGCCTTTCCTATCAGCCTGCTGTCCTGGGCCTTGGATCGGCTGACCTGGCTTATCCAGTAGTGTTTACTGCTGGTTTAAACACTACACACACTCACCAGGTACCTTTCAGGGTGGGGAGGACCACGGGCTTCCCAGGGTTGCCTCCCTTCCTTACAGGCAACAAACAGAGTAACTTGGAGGACTAAAATGACTTTCTGAGGAGGATCCTCAGATCTCAGAAGGGAAAGACCTTCTGTAGTCATGATCACGAATGTCTTCCAGTAGCCATATCCCAAGAGAATTAAGGTCCAAGATGGCTGTTCACCCGGTAGAGGCATTGATGATGGGAAGGCTTATAAGGTTCACCTGCTGTGTGGCACTGCTGTAGTTCATTTTGTCTTTCCATTCCCTCCAAAGCTGATGGTTCCTGGGAAGGAAGGTGGGGTACCTCTTGCTCCCAACCAGCCTGCTCACGGCACCCAGGCCGATCAGGAGAGACTGGTGACTCATGCACCTTCTGATGGGACCCACTGTGCTGCCACACCCTCTAGCAGGTGAGTTTCCATCATGGCTCTGCCACTGCTAAGGCCATCCAGGAACCTGGATACCCTGATACACAAACTTGGCTTGATATTTAATCCGTGCTGGGATTAAAGGCATGTACCCCAAAGCCCAGCTTTAAACTATAGGGTCTTATGGTAGAATAAAGGGTGGGGGTGCTGAAGGGACTGGAGAGATGGCTCAGTGGTTAAGATCACTGACTGCTCTTCCAGAGGACCCAGGTTCAATTCCCAGCAACCACATGGAAGCTTACAACTGTCTGTAACTCCAAGATCTGACACCTTCACACAGACACATATGCAGGCACAACACCAATACACATAAATTTTTTTAAATAATTAATTTTAAAAAGGGGTCTAAAATGTGAGGTGAACTAACCTGCAGCTTTGTGAGAGCCCTTACTGTGTCTGGCTGCTGTGTGTGGTTGCTGTTGACATTTCTGATAGGATTTTATGAGCTCACACCATTACAGTGTGATGTCTCATTCACTTATGTGAACATTTAATTGGTGCAGCAAGTCTTTTTCCAAGCCAAAAGGCAGGACAGTGGTTGCAACTGGACTTTTTGCTCAGGCTGCAGCTCCACAGGAAGGTGGGCTCAGTGACTAGAGTTGTTCTGTGGATTGAGAGTGAGCACTCACTTTCTCTTTCTTTTAGTGAGGACACTGAGACTGTATCTAACAGCAGTGAGGGACGGGCCTCACCCCATGATGTCTTGGAGACTATCTTTGTCCGAAAAGTGGGAGCATTTGTCAACAAACCCATCAACCAGGTGATTTTTCTGCCACTAGAGTAAGGTCCCCTGCACCAATGTCCTATGGGACTGCTGAAATTGCTTGCAAGTTTTTCTTTGAAGGCGATCAATAACCAGTAGACCCTGTGACTCACTGCATTCACAACCATATTCCTATAGTCCTCTGCTGTGAACATATTTGGTTGGAGACAGGGAGGCACGAAGGCCAGGGCAGCATGATTAGCCTATCTGTGGAAAGCTGTTGGACCTCCAGGCTGCTGGCAGCCTATAAGAAACAAATATGCTAGGGGAAGTCAGGCAGGAACACTTCTCTTCTTTTTCTCTTCAGGTGACCCTGACAAGTTTGGACATACCCTTTGCCATGTTTGCTCCCAAGAATTTGGAGCTGGAGGATGCTGATCCTATGGTGAGCCCATCAGTGACTACCAGTTTCCAGTAGATGCTACAGTGGTCATCCACCCTAGGCAGTCACTAAGTCCTCTACAGGACTCAAGCCAGGCTCCTTAGTTTATGGATTTGCAGCCAGCATTGTCCTGTTTTGTTTTTTCCCCTTTATTTGTTTTGAATAGGGGCTTGCTACAAAGCCATAGTTGTTCTGGAACTTTGTGTAGCCCATCAAAATCTCCAACTTGACGTTCTCCTGCCTCAGCCTTAGCCTCCTGAGTTCTGGGATTACAGGCATGCATCTCCATGCCCAGTGTGGCATTATGTTTTTGCCATAACTGTGAGATAGCTCACAGTAATCCATATCCTACTCACAGAGTCTGTATTGACTCCGCCTTATTCTGAATTAGGTGAATCCCCCGGAATCCCCAGAGACCACGTCTCCCCTCCACGGCAGCCTGCACTCAGATGGCTCCAGCGGGGGCAGCAGTGGCAATACACATGACGACTTTGTTATGATTGACTTTGTAAGTTACAGTCACCACCCTTGATCTTTGCTGTTCTCTGAAAATTAAACCTAGAAGCATCTGCTGCCTGTGAACGGATTTTCATTTCAGATGGGGTGGTGCACAGGCTGCAAGGATACGCTGGGGAAACATTTGGAGCCCTGTGAACAGCGAGGCTTTTAGTGTCATGTCTTTAGTTGAAATTCAGTGTGTATGGGGTTTTCCAAAAGCCCTTAGCTTAGGAGGTATTTCAAGGGAGGGTTATAAGCCTAACCAGAGAAAGGATTGGCATCATCAGGACTAGACTGTAGCCCAGACAAGCAAGGTACAAGGACTGTTCTTCTCCCTTAGATGAGTCTAGAAAACATTTTTCTTGGCTGATTTCTGAAAAGAAAGAGTCTTGTTATTAGATAACTGTTTGAGTTTTCCTTCATGGTCCAGAGATGAACTAACCTAAGTTTGTGTTGTTTTTAAAGAAACCTGCTTTTTCTAAAGACGACATTCTTCCGATGGACTTGGGGACCTTTTACCGTGAATTTCAGAATCCCCCTCAGCTGAGCAGCCTTTCCATAGACATTGGAGCCCAGTCTATGGCGGAAGACTTGGTATGGAAACCCCTTCCCTCCAGCACTCCTCCTCTTGCCTCCTATCCTCATGCTGGCCACTTGAGTGCCACAAGCCTAGAACTTTCTTCCTGTTACTCCATCCTGCTCCTTTGCCTTCCATCTTTGCTTAAAAGATGAATTTTAGGTGTTTATCACTTTTGATCCCACTTGATATATACATGGTGCCTGGCAGTCGTCTTGAATTGCCTTGACTCAGTTTTCATTTTTACAGCACTTTAAAAATGTTTACTTACTGTGTGCTTGGTATATAATGTGACAGGAAGGTGTCATGTCCATGCCACAGCATATTTGTGGTGCTCAGATCAGAGGAAAACCGTGTAGAGTTGCTCTCCCCATTCAGCCTTTATCTGGATTCCAAGGACCAAACTCATGTTACTAGGATTGCACAATAAGTGATTTTACCCATGAAGCCATGTCACTGGCCTTTTTCTGCACTTTCTTGGTGGGGCTCACACTGCTGGGCCTACTGTTCACTGCCAGGCACATACCTATGTACTGGAAAAAGGAACACATAGGTCCTGAGTAAGGGCCAGTATTCTTGTCTTTCTTGGATGGCTTCATTCTGCATATTCTGGGCCAGATGTCCAGAGATAGTCTATGATCACATTTCTGCTTAAGGCATTTCCTATTTCATGCACTAAAGAGCAGAAGAGTACCCCAAACAAAGCACAGACTCAGGCCACTCATGCTATGAGATGATAGTAGGGTCTCACTGTCACTGTCTGAGGTAGGACTGTGTCCCCAGCAGAAATCCAGGGCCCCAGGAAGGGGAAGTGCTACTGTCTTTTTTTTTTTTTTTTAATTTTATGAGTATTGGTGTGAAGGTGTCAGATCCCCTGGAACTGGAGTTACAGTGTAAGCTGCCATGTGGGTGCCGGGAATTGAACCCAGGTCCTCTGGAAGAGCAGTCAGTGCTCTTAACCTCTGAGCCATCTCTCCAGCCCCAGGACGTGCTACTCTCAGTTTGCTTTATCGGGAAGCTGTGCCCAAGAATAACAGTACAGGAAGAAAACTAGTAAACTAAGTTTATTTGCTTTTTTCTTTTTTTGACAGTCTATGTAGCCTTTGCTGTTCTAAAACTCACTGTGTAAACCAGGCTGATCTCAGACTCAGCAGTTCTCCTGCCTCTGCTGGGATTAAAGGTGTGCTTCCACCCCTGGCCCTAAGTATTAAATGGGACTGTGTAAACACTAAGCTAGCACACACATATTCTCTCTCTCTCTTACCCTCCTTCTCTCCCCACCCCCAATGTTAGGCAAGTGCTCTACACTGAACTGCACACTCACACCCACCCCATCCTTCAAAACATAGCTAAAACTAAGTGCTTTAGCAAGAATCGGATAAAATAAATAGGTTTTCATACTATCCCATACAGAAGGGAACACCTATGACAGAGTGACTCGCTTATGGCAACAATTCAAGTTTTGGTCCCAAAGTGGAGAGCTCCTGAGCTTAGTCCTTTGATCACTGGCACATACTCAGAAGGAAACGATATCCGAGTCCCACTTGTGATCCTTTAGCCAGTGCTAGCTGACGCTTGCCTTCCACCTGGGCAGTGGCCACCAGACTTGCCTCAGTTGTTAGGGTGTCCAAACCACTTCTGTGTCTAAAGCACACCAGGCCCCTGATGCTTTGTGAAGGTCACTCTGAAGCGTAAAGGCTTCTGGTTTAGTTTGTGTTGTTTAGCCCTGATGGAGGCAGCCTCTGGGGAGGACCAAGTCTTCATGGTGCTACAGGACAGGCTGGCAGCATATGGTTGTCTTCTTGATTCTTTGTAGTGACTTTCAGCCACCCCACACCCCAGCCAGTCTAAAGATGCAGGTGCCCAACCTCCCACTGACCTTCGTGAGTCTTAGAAGTGCAGTGGCTGCCTTGTCCCTATTTTCCCAGGGCTTTTGACACCCACAAAGTACAGGAGAGTCCCCTTTTAAAACGTCCTCAGTTCACTGAGCTCTAAAGATGCAATTTGATTCTAGTGTCTGTCTGCTCTGTACAAAGGATGTTTCATGTTTATTTTGGGGGTTTTTTTGTTTTGTTTGGTTTTTGTTTTGTTTTTGAGATAGGCTTTCTCTGTGGCTCTAGAGGCTGACCTGGAACTAGCTCTTATAGACCAGGCTGGCCTCGAACTCACTCAGATCTACCTGCCTCTGTCTCCCGAGTGCTGGGATTAAAGGCGTGTGCCACCAACACCCGGCCTTTTTTTTCTTTTTAAGATTTATTTGTTTATTATGCATACAATGTCCTGCTGCCATATCTCATTACAGATGGTTGTGAGCCACCATGTGATTGCTGGGAATTGAACTCTGAACATCTAGAAAAGCAGCCACTGCTCTTAACCTCTGAGCCATCTCTCCAGCCCCTCATGTTTATTTTTCACAGTCATGTTTTTGTCATTGTTTACCCATCTCATGAGCTGTGGTTCACTTTGATTCATCAGGCTACTGTGCAGCCTGGTGACACCCCTCCCAAACTCTGAGGACATGTCCCCTCCTTCATCCCAAAGTCTGCTCAACTGCCCTGCCTTTCAGCCAGCCTGGCACTGCCCAGTTCTTTGTCTCTTTTTCCACTCTGGCAGACTGGCTGCCTCTCCCAGGCCCTCTGGAGTAAGGTCTCCCTCTCCTCTGCTTGCTACAGGATTCCTTACCAGAGAAGCTGGCTGTACATGAGAAGAATGTCCGAGAATTCGATGCCTTTGTCGAAACCTTGCAGTAACAGTGTCCTGAGTATCCGCAGCATCCCCTTCCTGTGGACCCAGCAGAGAACCTCCTCCTCAGCAGCTCCCTGCTGCCTTCCTGCTGTTTCTGGCCAGGTGAAAGGCAGGGTGGTTCCTTCCCTATGGGACCTACAAGTCCCTGCTCTTGGACCTCATGGTAGCAGTCAGGCCCAGTGCCAGACTTTTGGGCGGACTCTGGCTATAACAGAGGAGCTTCAGCAGGGACCATCAGCAGCAGCTTCACAAAGGGTGCCATTCTGTTCCTTCGGCTGCCAGCCTCCTGCCTGGTCTACTCTGCAACTGACCCCTGCCTGCTTGATCTTACTGTCAACCACCTGACATTCCAGCTGGTGGCCGGGACACTGGGCAAGGCAGAAAGAGCAAGGAGACCAAGCTGGGCAAAGGAGAGCTCTGTGTCACCAGTAGTTCCTGGACCACCCCACTCTCCGCTCCTTCTTCTCCCCCTTCTATCCCTCCATCTTTCCTCATGAGAGTCACAGAAAGGGTCTTTCCTCCACATCCTCCCTCAGTTGCTGCTGCTTGGATATAGGACATGGTAAATATTTATTACTTTCAGAGAAATCAGATATTTTATAGAAAAAATGTTTGGGGTTAGCAGTGTCACTGGGGAAGGAGGAGGTCCTCCTCCTGTGCAGATTCCTCAGAACCTGTGCTGCTGCTCTGGCGATCTTCTCTTGCATCTAAGGAGAGATCAGGAATGGGGCTGGCAGGGGCAGAGTACCCCCTCAAGCTGCGCTGTGAAACTGCACTGACATCAGGCTTCCCTTGCACGTTGCGTGCATCTTCTCTTGACACAGCATCTGCAAAGTGACTGGCTCTATTCTAGCTGCCCAGAAAATCTCGGGTACGTTCAGTGTGATGACTCCTCACGACACACAGTGTCTGTCCTGCTGCTCGAGTCACTGAGACTAGAGCAGGACTGAGGAACTATTCCTCCCTCTCCAATTCCAGAGTCCGTATATGGCCCTGGGTTTACAAGCTGGATTGGTTCCCTTTTGAGAAACCAAAGCTGAGCTTTTGGTTGACTTAAACCTTCAGGTATTGTTGCTTGAGTAATAAGTCAAGTGCCTCTGCCAGCCTGCCCTGTTCTTCTGGTCCCTGATTGTCACTGGCAGCAGCTGTTACTCATTAGAGCGGGTGGCTCACAACTGCTTGTTAGTAATCTGCATGTAACACTGGAGCCTTTCCCCTGTGCATATGTCTGCTGCCACAGAGAAATGTGCTCAGCAGTGGTGGCCAAATGACACTGCAGCCTTTGGATCAGGCACATTCATGGCCTACTGAACCAGATTTGCCCCCAGAGCCAGCACTGAGTGGGGTGAGAACGTGGATACTTGGCAAGACTCAGCCAGTGGCCTCTGTAGACAGTAGCCTTTGTGTCCCAGACCTATCAGGGAAGATGCCAGGGAAGCTGAGCAGAGCATCCTTCAGGGTGGACTGTGCCCTTCAGCTCTACATAATGGAAAAGATAGTCTCTAGACCAACTCCTGCAGCCAGACTCAGGCTGGGACCAGGTAACTATGAGGCCCTTTCTCCAGTGCTTTGTTGGGAAATGAGAGCTTGGAAATATAATCAAGAGATTTCCAATAAAAGTTTTCTGTACTTTACAGTTTCCTATTCCAAATGTCTGGAAAACTAGTCAACCATTCTCACCTCTCTGTAATGCTGGGCCACCATCAGCTCCATAAGAAGGGAAGGGTGGAGCCAGAATTTCAGAAAACCTTGAGTTTGTCATGGCTGCTTGAGTCGTGAAGCTTGACCAAGTACCTACCAGCCTAGGCTCCCTAGAGCCTTGTGTCCCTAGGGCCATGTGCTTGAATATCCAGTGACATAAAGTGCATGATGAACCCTTGTAAAATCTCCTTTAAGGGTGGGCTGTTGTCACCACCATACCTGCAGGACATAGAATACCCAGGGAGAAAGACAGCAGCAGAGGCTGTAACAAGCAATGGTGGCTGATGGAATGAAAGGGGTTGTGTCTGAGCAAACGAGGAAAGTGGTGGTGGTGGGAGGTCAATGGCCTGTGCACATTCTGCTACTCCATCTGACAGATTCCAGCAAGGGTTATTAGGCCTGGACCATTCATCCAGCCCAGCTGTGCCTACAGTCTTCGAATGGCTGATAGACCCAGCAACTACCTCCTAGTGCACATTGAAGAGATGAGCCCATGTACAAATAGTTCTAGATGCAAAAGTGAACTAGATAATTGCTGTGTGGGTTCCTGCACCCCAGAGTCAGGTCAGGCCCAAGGACAAGAATGAGACCATCAGGAAATTCTAAGTTAGTTCAAGAGTAGGGCTGAAGAGAATGGATTCAGCCCACTCTGCCAGTAAAAACCTGGGTGCCCTTGTAAATTACATCTGATACAGACTATAGCACTTGAGAACACAACTGTCCAGCCCTGGGTCAGAAACAAGAACATCCTTGCTGAGCCACCTTTGGCTAGAATCTTCAAAAAACAGTGCTTAGCTGCTCCGTGACAGCAATGTGTCTCGTTCTTAAAATACCCTGTACCTGAGAGACCTGCTGCTGCTAAGGTTTTGTTTAGCGAGCACCTTAGTTAACTGCACAGGCCCGGCCAGTAGCCCAACCCAAGTAAATGGCTCTCCCCGTCTCTGGCCCTGCTGTTTCCCTGGCTCACTGCCTCAAGGTTCCAAGTAGTGTCACCTACCTTAAGCTGAGCAGAGCTAGCAAGAAAGGAAACTACCAAAGTGTTGTGTCTCAAGGCACCTGGATCAAGGCCACAGCTGTGTACTGGAGAGCTGCTTCCTTGAAGCTCAGGACCAGTGTTAATAACCACCATCTTAACACTGCTGGAACAAGCAACTCTGGCTAGGCTGCCTGCCCTATAGGAATAGCAGGACTACCCCTGGGCCAGCATAACCTTGTGATAGCGATAGGAAGATATCTAGAACCTGCCCTCGACAACTGTGACAAGTACAATTCTGTCCTCCCAGTTGCAAGCCATTAAACTGTGAAAAAACATAAAAGACAAGTGTGAGCTGGGCAGTGGTGGCATATACCTTTAATCCCAGCACTTGGGAAGCAGACGCAGGTGGTTCAAGGCTGGCCTGGTCTACAGAGCGAGTTCCAGTACAGGCTCCTAAAGCTACACAAAGAAACACTGTCTCAAACTGCCCCCCCCCAAAAAAAAACAAGCCCTAATATTACTGCAAAACCCATCCTGATGACCAACCCTTTCACTCTAGTTCTCCCTTTTAAGTTTCCCTTCACACAATCAGCTAGGAGAGGAGACCCTTGCCCTATGATACAAAACAAGGTAACCAGTTGGAATGCTGCAGGTACAAAAATATGGATGGTGACTTGGTACTTCCTGCCTAAAGAATGATCAGAAAGCAGGCCTTGGGCCTACTCAAAATAAGGAAAGGGAACAAATAGTGTCATGGAGCACTATCTTCCAGGCATACTATGGCTCTTTTTCTTTTTAAGAAATTGATATATGTCTGTGTAGAATGTGTGTGTGGTACCCACCGAGGCCAGAAGGCTGCATTGGAACTGGAGTTAAAAATGGTTGTGAGCTGCTGTGTGTATGCTGGAGACTAAACCCAGGTCCTTTGGAAGAACACCAAGTGCTCTCAACTGCTCTCTCTAGCTCCCAGCCCTTACTGTTTAATCAGAGCAGCTGTTACTGCAAACATGAGCCCTTCAACACAGTAAAGCCTTAGGGCCGGAGAGATGGCTCTCAATTGAAATGTTTGCTACTCAAGAGGACCTACATAAAAGGGGGGAAAAAAACCAATTCACACAATAATAACAGTAAAAAGTTGGGGGGTCTTTTAAAGTAGATGGTCACAGTAAGGACTAGGTAGGGTCGTTAAACCTTCACTGGAAAACCTACATCTGCTCACTCTCCACTATATAAATTCTGTCCCGGTTTCATGTGATCTTTGAAGGTACTAGACTTGAGTGGAAGACTGACGGGAGGAGAGACCCCATCTATACAGTTTCCCATGCTGGGGTAAGTCCTCTGATACAGCTGCTTGGGGGAATCATTTTTCTTTGGACTTTGATTGTTTATATTTCCCCAAGAAAATTAAGATAAGACTGGGGAGGGGACTTGCTGAGGCCCTCTTTCTCAGCCACACGCACACTTCCCACTTCCTAAACAGCCAGACGCACATTTTCCATTTCCATTTTTATTTATTTATTGAAATACAAAAAGTGCAAATGGTGAAATACATGATTGGTGCCAAGGAAATCATGGTAAATGTGAACACTGGATTCACAGTAAGAGCGCCCCCTCCAACTACAGGCTGAAAGGGCAGGGGCAGGAGAAGGACTAGTGAGGTCCAAAAGGCTCCTCAGTAAATGGAATGTAGCAACACTTGATACAAAAAGGTAGGCAAAAGCAGAATGGCCCAGGCTGGGCCAGGCATGAGGCCTGGACTGACAGAAGCAGCACTTGAGGCACAAGAGACCTGACACACGGGTGCAGGAAAAGCCAATGAGGTCAGGCCTGCCTCGTCTAAAAGGTGGTCAGTGCAGATCCCACAGTGTGCAGTACCATCTCTAGAGCTGTCATGCCTGGCCATACCTGTGGGGCAGGGACACTGCAGGTACTTCCCTATCACTAGGGAACAGACTTCTGGAAGAGGGTCACAAGTTTTCATTAGGAGTGGAATGAAAGCTATCAATCATTAGGGCTCAGGCTTTCTGAAAGACAACAAGGCTCTGTGGCCATCATACTCCCTCAAGGGAGTTGCTAGAACCTTCCTGACAGGGTGATTTATTAGTAAAACCTATGCCCCTCTTAGGGGTTTCTGAGCTCCTGCTCTCCAAGAGTACCCAGGCAGGAGGTAAGAGCCACGTGGATCCTGAAGCACTGGCACCTCTAGTCACAACAGGGACAGAGTGACTCCACACCAAAAAGATGCACCACAGCCATTGGCTGAGGATTTGTGCACATGAGAACAAAGAGAAGGAGGGCCAAGGCTGCTGTTGCTGATATACCTGACACCAGGGCTCTCCCTGGGAGTGGAGAGGACCATTTCAACAGATGCTCACATTCTGAGTCTTGTTATCCAAGATGCCAAGTGTGGCAGCAATGGGGGACTAGACACACTGGGGGCAGTACCACTTAGGGAGTCAGAAGTGACAAGCCAACTTTGGTCTTGTCATCCCTATTAGTAGGAACGGCAGGCATAGAAAACCTGCACCCAGGCCAACACTCACTCCTAAAAAGCACAGCAACTGACCAGAAAGGGAGGTACCCAGCACAGCCAGCACAAGCCAAGGAGCTCGGCTGTCCCATTTCCTAGCAATCAGGAAAGAGGACCAGCCCCCGATACCAGCACAGCTGGCAGTGATTTAGTCTTCTACAGTTGCCAGGGAAACAGGCAGGAAAAAGGAAAAGGGTTACTGGGGCTCAATCCTAGAAGAGCCAAGCCCAGTTCTGGAAAGCCCAGCAACCAAAGAGGCAGTGAGAGGTATAAGGCAAAGAAAATGTCTTACAATAACAGGCCTCCAGGGCTGGTTAGGGGCTGGAAAGAGGGAGAGGAGGGGCTGTCCAGTTGGTGAGCTCCAAATTCCATCTCCTGGGGCTTCAGGGCCCCTTCCTAGGCAGGAACCCTGGACTCCAATAAGGTTAATACCAGGAGGACAAGTCCAACTGGGGCTGCCAGAGAAGGGGGTGGGGGGGCTGAGCTCAGACGCCCTGGGCATCTGTGCTGGGAAACAACTCCCCTTGATGATCCAGGAGGAACTTAGTGAAGGTGTTGATGGGATTAATGGCCTTGAGAGTGATGGCAGCATCCTTGGCCCACAGCAGGTTAGGGCCAAAGACTACAGCCAGGTTAGTGTTGGTCATCTTGTTCTGGTCACAATGGGCAGATACCTGTGGAAGAAAATGCGGATTACAGCTAGAATCTATGGCCCCGGCCTCTTACTCCCAGCAACCACATCCAGAGCATCCAAGCAAAAACAACACACCCTCTCCCCTCACCAGGTGAGCAGTGGAGGCCAAGGCAAGTCTCACCTGCACCAGGAAAGCAGTCAGGAAACGAAGCACCTGGTAGTTCTCCTCTGGCAGAGTTTGGAGCGCCTGCTGTGTTACCTCCACTCTCTGGCTTTCATCAATGTCTGTGAGGAGTGGAGGCCCAGGTTACGGGGCATAGGACTAGCTCAGGAAACCCTGATAGGAGACTAGTGGGGAACCCCACCTGAACTTCCGGGGAGCTGCTTATGCCCACAAGCCTGCAGGGCAGGGTGGGTAGATGGCCATATACACACCCCCAGCTCCTTCCAGCTCTGGCATAGGATTTGCATAGCTGGGGAGGAAAGAGAGAACTCACTGAGGAAGCCCACCACGTGGGGGTAGAGGTCAAAGGTTAGCAAGGGCTCAGGAAGTTCCCGAAGAAAGGTCTTGAGGATGACTGCTGGCAGGTGCAGCTCATTGTACTGGTCAAAGTCCACCGGCAGCCCTTCATGGGGGGAGAAAGGATGAGAGAAGACTAGGCCAAGCCAGAGGCCAGCAAGCCTCACACACACCCTTAGGTTGTCCTTTTGTCTATGGCACAAGCTGCCTTTTCCCAGGATCCCCTATTGCATCTGCCTCTTCTCTTCCTCTGTAACAAGGGGATATAGGCTCAG